TCGCATAGTGACAAAATCGCTTTGCAGCTATTTTTGCTGCACCAATTATCGTCGCTATGCAAGGCACCACTGTATATTAAAGAGGATCAAAATCGGTTTTTTAAGGGAAGACAAATGGAAAATTTAACTAGGAGGATTTTGAATATTATGTATAGTAGACATTGTCTAGAGGGGCGGGTTAAAATCTAATAAATAAATAAATAATATAGAACAAGATAAATCAAAGGTAGGTATTTTATCATTAGATATTTTTAAGGCATTCAGTTGTGCAGAATGGCCAACATTAAAGATCCTTTTAAAGAGTTGGGGTTTTGTAAATAAATTTAGGGGGGTAGTAGACCAATTATACTTGGAGAACACTTCTGCACTAATTGTTAATGATGGGATGACAGTGCAGATAGCTCTAAGCCAAGGCACCAGACAAGGTTGCCCTCTTTTTCCAGTTCTGTTTTGTTTGATTATTGAAATGTTAGCAAGAGCAATAAGGAATGACGATTTAATTGAAGGTATGGGTGAAAATAATAAAATAAAGATTAATTTATTTGCTGATGATTCCCTGTTGACAGTGAAAACCCCATTAGAAAGTATAGATAGAATTAAAATTCATTTAGAAAAATTTGGAAAAAAACTGGATTACATGTAAATTGGCAAAAATCTGAAATAATGTTGTTTAATCATAATAATCTTGAACAAGAAAAGTTTGTTGATAAATATGATTTTAAGATATGTAAATCAGTTAAATATTTAGGTAGAGATTTAGTAAAAGATACTCAAAAATAAAGGAACATAATTATAATACATTAAAAGCAGATATTAAAAAGAAACTACAGGAATATACTAACTTAAAACTTTCTTGGTTTGGAAGGATCGCACTGATAAAAATGAAGATTCTACCAAAAATTAATTTTTAATTTAGAATGTTAGCAGTACAGTTAACAGAAAATGATTTTAAATTTTGTCAAGGAATGATTAATAAATGCTATAATGAAGGGAAGAGCCAGAATAAATAAAAAGTATTGGTATAAAACAACAAAAAGGAGTTATAGGTATACCAAATATAAAAATTTGTTATTTGGCTAATCAGTTGAGGTTAATTGGGGAAATTATATATAACTCACAAAGGTTAATTTGTTGGAAAATTGAATCATCAGAATTACAGGTGGATATTAAAAAACATCTATTTGGTATGATTAAGAAATATAAAATAAGTGAAATTACTGTAATAACCATTTAAAGGACTATCTTAAACATTTGGTACAAGTATAGAATTTGTCCGTTTAACTCTGCATTAGAATTAGTGACTGAAATAGAGAATTTTCCTGCCAATATGAAAATTTTCCTGCCAATATGAAAGTTTATGCAGAATTATTTAGGTTAAAAGACTGGTTGTATAAAATAAGATTGAAAGATCAAATGAAATAAATCCTTCAAAATAAAAATATATCATGGTTGAATTATATGCAATAGAAAGATGGACTAATGAATGGGTAAAGAAGTATAATAAAGGTAGAGAATATACAAAGTATGAATAATTTCTATTATCATATGAAGATATTCAGATGAC